CAGAATTAAGCTAAAAAAGTATAATATTGGATGTCACGAAATTTCCCAGTTTCTCAATTGGCCACAGATAATCTGCCAGTAAAGTGACATTTTAACCTACGTTCAACATTTAAATTATCTTTATTCAGACTTTGAAACTAGGTTTAAGAATGCATTTACTTGGTAATTACCACAAAAGGCAATAAATTCATGTGGTCACATTGAAAAAAAAAGTCTAATTACAAAAGAACTGATTGCAATAGGTAGTAACGGAGAAAGGTAAAGTTTTGAAACATGTGTCAGCAATTTTGGCTTTTCCTAGTGAGGAGTTTCAGTGCAAGGGTGTTCACTGGACACAACTGACCGAGGAAATTTAGGGTTAAACCTGACAATATTGATGACAAATGTTGAAAATCTGTTATTGAATCACCATTCATCCCTATCAGTCGCGCACACAAGGGGGAGTCCTTCGGTCCGGACCCTCCCCCCCGATAGCCCTTGGTTTTTTTCGATTGATTATAATCCTATGTATACAGTATGTAAAATTCAATTGAATATTAGTTATTAATAATTATTTTAATGAATTAGTGTTACTTATTTATTGAATAAATTATTTTACTGTTTTTTGTTCCCGAGAATCGACAAAATCAAAAGAAGATGCTGGGTGCGTATTGGGGCACGATACGAAAATGGGGGACTTTCGACCCTGGACCCCCCGCCTCTCCCTCCTTGAAAAACTCCTGTGTACACCACTGATCCTTATCATTATAAGCATTTGTTATATATATATATATATATATTCAGTTATTTTACGTATCAATTTAATTTTAAATTAATTAACATGTGTTTCCTAAGTTTTAAATTCTACACCACTGCAGATAGAAATTTAAATCTTTTAAAGTAAGTAGCTCTGTACCAGTGGTCATGAACACATTTAAGTTGATAAATTTTCAAGAATTCAACATAACGTAAGTAGGGGTCTACATTAAACCGAAAAAAATGGCGAGGGGGTTTATGAGATAAAAAAGTTTGGGAATCTCTGAGCTAGGGTCACATTAATCACTTCTAAGCGCCACCCTTCTAAATAATGACTAGCCTTCATGACGGCTCTGTGAGATAGATTTATTCAAATTTTATAAAACTTTGAACAGATTTTGAAGATAGAACAGGAACTATTTACATTTATTTATTTTTTTAAACCCATTCGCTTAGCAAAATTTTGTCATTTGTAATTATAATAAAAGAAATTGAAAATGTGTTTATGTTTGTTTTATTATTTTTCAGAAAACACAGAATGCTTGAAATATACTTAGCTGCTTTAGGACAAAGTTCTTTGTGTGCAATTACGATAAAGCTTAGATTTAACAAAAATTAAAAGAATAATAACATTGGAAATATTTATTTCCCCTACAGTGGATATACCTTAGCATAACATAAAACGATATGGTCTGATAAACTTCGACAATGGAAATATGTCACCAAAGAATACAAAAATAAGTGGTATATCACCGAACCTATTTCATCTGAATTTATAATGGTATTATGAGTGACAAAAATGGTCTGTCAAATGGTTTCTCATGTGTATGTATACGTATTAATGCTCAGAAATGCAGAACAGATCAACAACAAACGATTTCAGAAATCAATGGAAAATAAATGATAAAAATAGTTTTCCCAGAATCAATGAAGACTAATATTAAAATTCCCTTTCATAAAATTGATGAAAAAGAAGAAGAAAAAATCAATATTTTTATTATAATTTAAAATAAAAAAATGAAAATGCTTTCAGAAATCAATGGAAAATATGAGGTAAAAATTCGATGTGCGGAATCAAATTATAAGAAAAATTGCCAAAAATACTTATCATTTTTACATTGTACAAATGATACTGAAGTTCTTAAAATATATAATTTGAGTATATTTGTGCTTTTTGAATTTGAATCATTTGATTGATATATTACGACAACTTAACGTTTTGTAAACATATACTTTATAAAAGTAGCTTTTAATTCTAAATTTTATGAGCACAATTGTGTTATCTTTTTTATAAATTCTTTTCTCTTTTTCGTGTTTATTTTTTCATAAATTAATAATTTTTCTTTCATGTATTTGTCTGGACTATATCCAATTATTTTTTTTTTGGAACAGGTCAAGGATCTGGAGGTAAGAATGTTACATTATTACATTTAAAATTATTATTTCCTTGTGTCTGTTATTTTCATATGATTTATTGATTCCCTGGTTTAAAAGTAGTTATAAGTTTTTTGAAATATATTTGTGATAGAATATAAGAATTCATATATTAAATTGAATCCAACTGAATATTATTACTCACTTATCTTTTTCATCTTCATCAATATTTCAAAAATTAATACCTATTTCTGAAAAAATAATTAAATCTTGTGTAAAATATTTTATGCATGAAATTGGTTATTAAACAACTAGTTTTTTAAACTTTTTCTGTATTACATAAAAGAACCTTTTCCAAATAAAATAGTGTTTACTAAAAATTCTTAATTAATAAACATTTCAATTTATTTCAAAAATGTTACCACAAGCTAAGATCAGCTATAAAATTATAATTCATTAATACTTTAATGTTTTCTTTATTGCATCTGAATTAATCAATTGGAAAACAAACATCCGCTAAATATTTTAGAAATTTAATTTGGTACAAATAAGAGCAGGATATTTTTTGAAAATTGGATATATGTTTTAATTAAAACTTTTTTTAATGAATGATTTTTCAAAATAATTTTATAAAATGTAAATACAGATGCATCATATAGTTTCTTTTAATAGTTAAGAAGTTCTTTGTGTATGTTAAAAATAACTGTAATCATTTTTTACTAAACGAAATTTTTAATTACATTTCTCTTTTTCTTTTCAGCTGTTATCACCCACGGTGAGTCATAAGACTAAAGATTTAACAGAATATTTGTAATTTTATTTATTCTTGCAGGCTGAATTTCATCAGCAAAAAACGTTCCATACTACAAAATTACGGAAGTTTAGGTGTACATATTTTTGTATATATTACGTCAGCTCATTTATTTAATAAATCTTAAAAACATGCACTGTGCTATTCGTGTTCCTCAAATGTGTGTGATGTTAAAAGAAAGTGGCGATCTATCAGTTGTTAAGAGCTTACATACTTTCTTTTCATTTTCAGTTATCATAATGACTTATTAGAATATGTGTATATGCTATATGGGAACAATGTAAAATTTCTGTCTTCTATTTTTAGTACCTTTAATTAAGTTCAGCCTAGGCTTAAAACACATTGCTATGTACTTTATATAAGTTTTACCTTTGCACTTATAGCCAATCAAACATTCATAACGATGTGATATGCTCTGGTTAGGAAAATTAATATTAAAAAAACGTAATCAAATAATAACTATGAAGAGGAGAAATAACATCCTGTAAAAATTAATGTAATGTTTTTCATTTAGAATTTATTGTTACAATATATTACAAACTGGACTTTTTGGCTGCATCAGAACTTCAAAGCTTTAAAACAATAAAAAAATAGCTATAATAATTGCTATATTATTATTGGCTTTTTATTTTGCGCATGTTCACTGAAAATAAATTTGTTATGAACAAAGCAATTAGGGTATTTAAAATTTACAGATACATTTTCATATTGAAAAGTTTTATTATAATTATAAATATTGTAGGTTGAAGTATATAAATGATACAAATATATATTTCAATATTTATGATTACTTTTTTTACCAAGCATTACAAATCTATTTAGGTTGCATTAAAATATTAAGGTTAAAAATGGAATGAGTTATAAATAACAATAATACTTATAAATAATAATGATAATAATATGTTTTAACAACTGTCTTGTCGTTTCTTTTAGGCGCAAGATCACCAGGTCAGATTTTTAATCGAATTTTAATTTATTTTTTTAAAAATTTTGTTGCTAATTTGAAAAAAAAATATTGCATCGATTTTCCAATTTTGAATTAAAATTACACCAAATAATTGTATAAGTCACGTATTAATTTTTTATACATCCTAATATTTTCATCAGTATCTTGTTGACGTTATTTAATTTTTTTTTTTTACAATAATACTTATACAGTTAAATTTAGATTCCAGAGTTTCAGTCTAGTTACACCAAGTTACACTAAAATTAATAGGCATTCCTGAGGCGTAAATTGAAAGCCAGTATTAATATTAATAGAAGAACATTATAAGTGGATATATAGTTTAATGTATGATATGAAATATAATAACTTGCAAGCAAGACTTACAATAATTTTTTTTCTATATTTAATTTCGGAGATTTATGAGATTTCACGTAACTAATATGCATGTTTGTGTTACTTTTTTATGTTAGAATACCCAGTAAAATTGCTCAAAATAGAGGAGCTCCATTTTTAATCATTTTATCAGATTTTTAGAAAATAGTATTAATCAGCCATAGAAACTTATTTCTGCTCATTTTTAAATTAATATTGAAACTTGCTTTCAAAATATTTCTATTCCTCATTTTATTTTTTGAGAAAGGAGAATAATTATAAGGTATTGTTTTTCTTTTAAATCTAGGATATGGGCAAGGTGTTCAATTTAGGCTTTTTGGTATGTATGAATGTTAACTATTAATATGTATAAGTCATACTTCAAATTTTGGTTTAGAGTATTTTGATATTAAGGTGATCTTTCTATATCAAGTTCTTGCAATGGTAGAAAGGATGTTGAGGTTTTTAGTCGTTAAGCATCTGTAATTGTGACGAAAAAAACGAGTAAAGCGGTGACATAAACAGTACAGCACAAACTCGAAAAAGTTCTTTGCTCATTCTAGAGATCTCGTCTATTTATGTGGGTGATTGACCGGAAGTAATTAAAGTAATATAATTTCTGGTAAAGACTTGTCTGACTGCTCCAGATACTCGGGTGATGCAAGATTTCCTCATCCTTAATTTAAAATCGGTGAACGTCTAGTATAGGGGAGAGAGATATATAAGAACATTCTCTCTCTTTATATATATATATATGTATTGTTTGAATAATCAGCGGTCTGAGTGTTCTGCAATTAAAACCAAATCATGCAGCTGGCTGCGTTCTCCATCGACCCGTGAGTCGAGTGATCCATTGCTCGGAGCTGCACATTACCACAATTTTATGTCCGCCGTACGAAGGATGTTATAGAATTTCCTAAACGATTATTTCCCCGATTTGGAGAAAATATACGCACCACGATGTTACTATAACGATCCGATTCAAAGCATTATATGAGGCAAGAAAACCATAAAATAGTATTAGAACAGACAGAGTAAGAAAGTCACGGCAATTACTATACAAGGAAATATTGAGGATAATGACCAAATGCCAAGTTAACTGTTCTTCAAAGCACCCCATCCTTTCTCTTTTTTTCAATATTAATGAGTAGAATGTAAAATTTTTAGAAGAGAAAGTGTAGTTAAGAATGTTGTAGAATTTTAAATAAAGGTAAAAGTGTTATAAACAAGTTTGAAATAAATCCAAAATTTTAAGTTTGTAAAAGTATCAAACTTGTAATCTATTTTCCCTACCGAGTGCCAAACGTGAATAAAAATCACAATACAGCTTATGCCAAAAGAAGTGACAGTTTTATAAAGTCTTTAAGTTGAAAAAACATACAAAAATATAATTTGTTTTAAAACAAAATGTACATTTTTTGTAAAAAAAAAATACAAACATATTCAAATAATTATTAAAATAAAGTACATGGCACATCAAGGTCTGTGAACAAGAATGGCAGATAATGCTTATTAATTTTTTTAAAAATAAATCAAATTTAATGAAAATATACATTTTAAGAAATTTATTAGAGGGTTTTTTTATTAATGTTTTGAGGAATTTAAACACAAATGCATTTCCACGATTTTTTAAAAAAATATTTAACTCTTTTAATAAAAATTGGTATATATGTAAATGACAAAACGAAAGGAAAAGGAAATAAAATAAAAAGTATATTTAGGAAAAGGAAATAAAAATAATTTACATGAAAGTAAATGAAAATAAGTTTTCTTAGTTTTTATTTGTTACATTATACATGCATGACCATTTTTATACAAACACGTAAGCATATAAATATGTGTGTTTGCGTGTTAGTGATTTTGATAAAATGAAGTTAAGCGTAGCAAATATATATGACTTTTAGTCATATATATTTTGATTCTTAGTTTACAAAGGTTTTATATTTTTAACATTATAAATACGAGTATAAATTACGAGTATTTTACTGCTAATTTAAAACTACTTATTTAACTAAGAACAAAACAAAAAATACTACTAATTATTCACCTGTTTGAAGTTTTTCTATATATTAGGGCTGAGCAAACTAAATTTGTTCATTTAAGCTTTGTTAAAACAATTCTAATTTTCATTTCATTTCTTTAATAGGTTCTTCGGGTGAAGCAGGTAAGACATTTAATAGTACAATTTTCAATCAATTGCATATATCTGAATATATAAGTGTGTGTTTCATATTTCTTTCTCAACATGTGTTTTTTAAATATATTTTAAACGTAAGCTAAATTCAAAATCAACTTGTATTTAAAAATCTGTGCTAATAATATCTCCTTTGAAAATTCATTAAATTCCTAAATAAAAATTGAATCAAGACCTTGTCATTACAAACATGAATATCTCAAAAAATATATTGCTGTTAAAGATCGAATTACTTTCCCACTTTAAGCGTTTTCTTCCAAAGATATGTCTATCTTTATATATATATATATATTTAATTTTCCTACCAATAAGAAAACTTTATTTTAGCATTTCGTTTCTCAGTATCTGTGTCATTAAAGATTGCAAATTTTTCAAGTATATGTGAAATTTCCAGTGTTATACATTTTTTTAAAAAGCATAATGCATATTATTGATACAACTGAATTAAAGATAAGTTTTTAAGCTGTCAAGCAGATTAATAAATAACCTTATATTTATATTTTTGACTAATAATCTGCAATTATTTTTCAAAAATACATTAGAATGTATTGCATGGAATATCCTGATTAAATTGGTTTCGAACCAGTATGCATATATCATGAATGAGTTATTGATTTCCTGTGTATAGATTTTCTACACATTTAAACAAAACACGAAACTATAGGATGTTACATCATTTCTCAGATTCATTATATAAAGTTATGTGAGTGTGATAATTCTTTAGAAGTATAGAATAATTATATTATTCCATTACCTTTTCAAATAACAGGCTATGATCTTGGTGGTAGATTTCCTCCAATTTGGCCAGGTGGTAATTCTTACAAACTTCATTTTTCGGTACTTACGTATTATACCGTCAACCAGTACCGTCAAATAAATGGACATCGCCAAAAGACGTGATATGCGGGCAAAAATGGAAACCGTTCTCACAAATTTTCTAACACAATAATAATAATGATGGCAGCATTTGGCGACATTTTTTAAAAAAGGTGACGTCCTTTTCTTGGGTAAAATTGGTCGACGGTATAATACGTAAGTATCCGTTTCTCCACTTTACTTCTAATCGTTATCGTAAATACCTAATATTTTACAAAACATATACTGTCCCCAAATATTATTATTAAGCTTTTAATGCATAAACTATCAAAACACTTGTGGTATAGTTATGTAAAGAAATATTGTGGTCGTTATAATCTATTGATAACTTACATAAATACGAATTAATTATTTGACATTAGTAGTATTATTACTGTAAATGATATATTTACGGTTTTATTATTCTCATTTGAACAATTCTTTTGGATTGAAAATGTATTAACTTATTTAATTATCTACATAAAAAAAAACAGATTTTACAATAGATCTAAAAAAATTATGCAAACTTTGTTAAAGCCAAGAATTTGCGTAGTTTACGAGTTCATTTGGAATTTGATTACTACTCAAGAGATATTGGAAAGAAATAAAAGAATATTAATAACAAAAGTTGTCATTTTATTAAATTTGTTCAAAGAGAAGAACACTTGTACGCTTCCCCTCGGGCTTCTGCACTAATTATAACTAGTTTATAAGACTATTCATAATCTTTGTAAGCATAAATGAAAATTAAAGCATAGAAAAGTTACTATACTTAATTGTGTAAAAATAAAATCCTACAGTAATATTTTTGACTTCCTATTTAGTGTGATCTAGCTGATTTAAGAAGGAGTGCTCCTTCACCTGAAAAATTTTATATTAAGTGTAAAGCTTTTATACAAGTTATACATTTAGTAATTTACATGGTACAATATGGTCAATATAATATTTGATATAGTGTTTTTAAAAATATTTAAATACGATAAATACTCTAATGACAGACTTCTCTGCCTTTAAAACTAGGTTATAGAGAAGGAGGTGAGCTAAATTTTTTTTAAAAAATAGTTTTTTAAAATTTACAGTGTTTTACTAGTTTGACTCAATATGAAAATTAATCGATTATTTTATCGTTACACTAAGTCATGTCTCCTTTAAAATTTCTTACCATTGTAGGGTTATATGAAAATAAACAGTATGCTAGAATATTTCTTTATTTTCTCTTGAGTTAACGGAAAAATGTTATTAGCTATTGATGAAGTTAATATAGTTCTTGTGTTAAATAATGTAATAATCATTCCATTCCTGTAAAGTACCATCTTAGTACTCACATTTCCAAAATTGCAGATACACTCATGTCCAAAATTACGGTCACAATCATAAAATCTGTGATAAGTGATGAACTATTCTTTGTATTGCCAAGAAAATCGGCACAAAGACATATTACAATATCGAAAAGAATGTAGCAACATGACAATATGGAAAATATTTTAATTGTGAATTAAGATACAAGTCATATCAAAAAGTGTGAAATCATGATTAATATAGATGAAGCATCTACCTCGAGAAAAGTCTATCTAATATGGAGTGTGACCCCTGTGAACTGCTATATAAGCCTCAAAATGAACTGGCATACTGTTCATGTGGGTGTAAATAAGTATTTGTGGCATTAAAACCCATTTTTCCAAAAATGGGCTTTTTAATTCCTAGAGAATCTCGAGAGGGATCTACCCTGTGAAATGGTCTTTCTGGAACATCCCAAATATATTCAACAGAATTGTGATCCGGAGACCTCTGGGATCAATCCATATATGTCGAATATCCGTTCCTTCAGGAAATTCATCAACACTGTGAGCTCTGTGTGGCCGTGCATTATCACTCATAAAGATGTTGTCTGGGCCCACAGCACCTAGAAAAACCTCACATAGGCTCCCAAGATCTCATTACTATTGCGCTGTGATTTGACAGCATTGAAAACAAACAATAGTGTATTACTGCCCAACATTATGCTACCACACACAAGGATTCCTTTGCCATCATATCTGTCGTTTTTTGTTGCGTAGGGGGATGAAAGCGAGCTCCATTTTCTCTCCAGGTGAAGACTCGACGAGAATCATCTTTTATGGTACATTTCGACTCATCTCTGAAAAGAACACGCCCCATTGTTGTGGTGTCCACAACTGATGTTTTCAGTTCCACAATATCCGGCCTTTCCTGCTAAATGCATTTAAAGGGAGGCACCAGACTGGATGCCGGGCGTAGAGACTTTTCTCTGAAAGTCGGTTGTAGAGTGAAATTTTTCTTGAAGACACAGTTACAAGGTCATGAGCAAGCTGAGAAACCGTTGTCCAACTATCATCGACTTGGCATCGTATACTTAATGCCAAGTAGCGGTTCTGTGAAGATATCGATGCTCTGTGATGACCTTGGTTGACCGTCCTGATGACAATACCACCTGTTTGGAATTGATTCCATTAACAAAAGACCACTTTCGGGCCACTATCAAGCATCTCCACTTGAGACTAACCAGCTTCAAACCTGCTAATGGCTCACCATCTCAAAAAATCACATGAATGATTATGATTAGTCATTCTAACTGCAACAGACTATATAACTTGTTTTGTTTTAAAGTAGTATTTACAAAAGTGGAAACAAAATTCCCACATGCCTGAACGGTCGCAATCCAGTAGTTCTGCAAAAATTAACGCTAAACAGCATAGTTTTTTTAAACTGAAGGTTGATATTGTTTTTCAACCCATTTTTCAAAATGTATAAAATACCAAATCTATTAGTATTACGGGAGGCAGTTTAAAATTACG